ATATCTTTGTACTGGTGAACGCTGAATAAAAAATGTTCGTATAAAATTCATATTGAATAACAAGCAGAAACTTAACAGAAACGAAACTTTGTATAACAGCACTGAATCACCGTCCTTCAAACTATTTCTATTTTCCACAGATAACGACTTAGACTGCTTGCTGTTAGTGACTGATGAAGATATGCTTGAGTAGCTCTTTAAATATCAGTTTTTGCTACCGAAATAAATATTCTTACCAAGTGGCTAGGTATCAATGAAGAATTAGATGGTACCTAAGTATGCAATTAGGTACCAGCCATTCAGTTGCTTGATTATCACAGAAAGGAAATAGATTGGGCTTTTCGTTAAAAATATTTTCAAGATTAAACACTCACGAACAACATCTCAAAAGGGTGAAAATTGCTCAAATTGTGCGATAAGAAAATTTTAACCTACGAGTATCTCGAAAATAACAACTTTGGGCAATTTAAGCAGCAGCAGATTTTTTGGTATAAATTTAATGTGTTATAATAATAACACCATTTCAAAGATATCCAATAACTGTAAGTAGTATTTTGGAAACTAGTACTTTTTTCAGTAATTCATAACTTTTTGTTTATGCATTGCTCAGCAAACGCACATTATCAATAAGTAGCGCTTTATCTAAACTACAATATGAATATACAAAAAAAAATAAGCAATTTGAGGAATTTAGTTTTTTTTATAATTTGGATTTTTTTTGTAAATAACAAAATAATATTTTACAGTGTATTTTTTTTTTCTTGAAAGGCACAATACTTGTCCGCAACTTCGCCAGATACACCATCTTGATTAAACAAATCGTTCGCGAGATATATTTTTTTTTCTATTGATGCGTATCATTTTTGCATAAGCCCTTTTCAAGAAGTGTTAGTCGTGGTTCGATTGAGCCTGTACAAATAACGTAATTATTAATAAAAAAAAATGTCAGTCGTGTACAAAACTAGGGAACCAAATATGTAAAATGACATTTTGGAAAGTAATAAACAACTGTGTTGGTTACGCCCGCTTCAAATGTGTATCACGTACACCCACCGCTGATCTACGCCACTGACGAGTGAGTGCAACCACACCCATCGGCATACGAGGGATTTCCGCGCGATGAAAGGGATAAAGCGGACAGGGGTTGTAAACAACGAAAACAATAGAGAAGTAAAATCGATAGTTGGCAGACGCCGAACAGGAAAGTTTCTTCGTCATTTAAAAAATTCTTATAAATTTACTTATTAAACTATACCTAGGTGAGCTTAACATAATTAAAATCTTAAATATAATCCTAAACATAAACATTTAAATAGGTTCCTACGGCTAAACAAATACTTATAACTACAAGCAATTCTGCTGTTACCGTTTGTAGGTAAGGCTTTGTACATAAAGCCAAGGATTTATGCTTACACTTTTCCTAACTTAGATTAACATAACTGAATATTCACAGGAATTTTATAACTCTCGTTTGCTGAAATACAAATCGAAGTTAATGGAATTTGATTTATCCCCGCTCTGACCAACATTTTATAAAATTCTTTTATAATATCGATCCCGAGATGTCGAAGAAATCCACCGAATCTGAACGGATAATCACCGTAGTACCGACGGTGGACGATGTAGCAGCAGGTATCGCTAGTGACGTAGCAGTGGTAGCCACGACCGTCCTCGATGGTGTAGTATCTCTTCCCAGTAGAACGCAGGTAACATCTAGCCTAGTTAGTGCTCAATCGGTACATCCATCTCGTACTACCGGAGCGAATAAAAAAACGCAGAAGTTCGATGCCGCCGGTAAAATGCCAATGTCAATTCCGACCGTGTCCAACGCGAGACGAAATCCGATGCGCGTTGTTCGAAGGAAACAAGGTTTCCATTGTCACTTGTGTAGTGAGCGTGATAGTGATCATATGATGCAGTGTGATGGTGATCGTTGCAAGCAGTGGTTCCACTACGAATGTGTGGAAGTTACGGATGACATCGCGAACGTTAGTTGGATCTGTCCCCTATGCAATACCGCAAAGGATTGAACACCAACAGCGATTAATCCCCCCACCAGTACCACCACAAACCAGATGGTTTCCAACACGTCGAATCAGCAGCAGCAATGGCAAGTCGAGGCAAAAAATGATACTGGTGCAATTCAAACGAAGAGTAAGGCAAGTTCAGCTAGGAGTGAAGCAAGAAGGATAAGGGAGTTGGAGTTGCAAAAGCTCATTGGACAGTTCGAGCTGGAGAAGAAGTTTCTGGAGAGAAGGTTCGAGATCCTGAAGGATTACGGTAGCGAAACGTCAACGATCGCCAGCGACTTGGAAAGGATGTCGAAGATCCAGGAATGGGTAGATGAAACCGAACGCCATGGTGTGGAGAACGATTCCGGTTTAGTAGAAGAGGAGATTAACGGTCATGCATCGAACATCTCGAGGAGGCCACAGGAAAATTAAATTCCGAATCTCGCTCAGCACAATTACCAACCATCGATTCGTCCGAACCAACCAGGTCAGCCATTGCAGCGTACATTTATACGTCATCCCAATTCCACCGTATTTCGGTCATCAAACATCCCTTCGATGAATCCAGGCACATTGGCAGACGGCAACGAGTTTTTTCCTGGACAGCGTTCAACTCCAGTTCGTCGACCACCTCCTGCAGCGCCACCTGTGGTGACCTTCAACGACGAGACGGTGTGTATCCTGCATCGAAGTCAACTCGCGGCACGCCAAGCAGTTTCCAAGCATTTGCCAGAGTTCAACGGAAGTTCAGAAGACTGGCCACTTTTTTTTTCTATATTCAACTCCTCGACCCAAATGTGTGGGTTCTCAAACAAAGAGAACATGCTTCGATTGCGAAAGTGCTTGAAGGGAAAGGCACAGGAGGCAGTGAGGTGTCGACTGCTCCATCCATCAAATGTAGTAGGAGTGATGTCGACGCTGAAAATGCTCTACGGAAGGCCGGAGGCCATTGTTCACGCAATAATCCGAAAGGTTCGTGCACTACCACTACCAAACATGGAGAAGCTGGAGACAGTCGTAAACTTCGCGCTTATGGTGGAGAATCTTGTCGCCACGATCCAGGTGTGTGAACTGTGAAGTTAGCGATTTCGTGTATAACTCATCGCTAAGGTACGAGCTGGTGGAGAGGCTTCCGTCAACTCTCAAGATGGACTGGGCCAAATACTCTCGTGGAAAGCCGAATACAACCTTAATCGATTTCAGTGCGTGGCTGTACACTACGGCGGAGGATGCCAGTGCAGTTATGATCAGCAACAGTAGCATCGAGAAGCGAGGTCGAGAAAACAAAAAGGATGGCTTTCTGAATTTCCATTCCGAGTCGGAATCCACGAGAGCAAGATCTACCGAACCATCGACCAAGACGAAACCTTCCGGTGCTGCATCCATGGAGCATCGTGCAGTGTGCAAAGGAACGTGTCCATCCGTAGCGAAGTGCAAGAGGTTCGAGGAGTTCAGCTACGATTCCAAGTGGGCAACCGTGAAGGAGTGTAAGTTATGCCGGAAATGCCTGCCAAAGCATAACGGATCATGTAAGCAGTCCAAACCTTGTGGAAAGAACGGATGCGAGTTTCTTCATCACCCTCTGCTTCATAACACGCAGAAACATGAAGCTCCGAGAACGCCAACGCCGATGGCAGCAACACCCAACAGCACCCAACCAGAGACGAGAAGGACGGATCATAGCTACAACGTTCACCAGGGTCAATCGGAGATCCTGTTTAGAATCGTTCCGGTTATGCTTTATGGGCCAACGAAGACGATACGCACCTACGCGTTTGTAGATGATGGGTCTGAGCTCACACTAATAGAACAGAGCCTGTCCGATGAGTTGGGTGTGCAGGGACCGACGAAATCACTGTGCTTGAAGTGGACCGGTGGAACGCAGAAGATGGAGAACCAGTCGCAGCAGATCAACCTGCAAATTTCCGGCGTGTACAGTTCGAAGAAGTACGAGCTGTCAGGTGTCTACATGATGTCCTCCCTGCAAATTCGTCCGCAAACGTTGCTGCTTGCGGAGATCCAGAGGAAGTACCCGTATTTAGCAGGGTTGCCACTCGAGTCGTACCACGACGTCAGTCCTCGTATTCTCATCGGTCTGAAACACGCTAGACTTGGCCATGCCATCAAGAGTCGGGAAGGTAAGGACCACGAGCCCATAGCAGTGAAGACGCGCCTAGGGTGGATGGTCTTTGGAAATTGTGCCGGCAAGGAGGAAGGTACGCGGTATGTGAACTACCACAGCGTGCAAACCTGCGAGTGCAACCGAGATCCGGACGAGGACCTACATAAAATTGTGAAATCTCATTTCTCGTCCGACAGCCTTGGAGTTGTAAAACCGGACAAGTTGCTAGTCTCGCATCAGGATCAACGGGCACAAATGCTTCTAGAAACTCTCACTCGTCGTACAGCTGATCGTTACGAATCTGGCCTCCTTTGGAAGCGCGATAATGTCCGACTTCCGGACAGTGAACCAATGGCGCTGAAGCGGTGGAGATGCTTGGATAATCGTATGACGAAAGATCCCGTGCTAGCCGAGGCGCTGAAGGCGAAGATCGACGACCACGTAAGGAAAGGCTACGTAAGGAAGTTGACAGTGGAAGAGCTGCAAACACCACGATCCCAAGTGTGGTACCTCCCGATTTTCCCGGTCGTTAACCCGAATAATCCGAGCAAAATGAGACTTGTGTGGGATGCAGCAGCCACCGTCCATGGAGTATCGCTCAATTCCGTCCTGCTCAAGGGCCCTGACCAGCTGACGTCTCTTCTTTCCGTGCTGGTGCAATTCCGAGAGTTTCGGGTGGCAGTTTCTGGTGACATTCGTGAGTGTTTCACCAGGTGAAGATGCGAGAAAATGACCAGCATTGCCAACGTATCTCCTGGAAGGACGACGACCAAGCGACGGAGCCGAGTGTCTACGTAGTGCAGGTGATGACTTTCGGTGCTTGTTGCTCACCAAGTACTGCACAATATGTGAAAAATAGTAACGCTATGCAGTTCGATCGGGATCATCCGGAAGCTGTCATTGCAATTGTCAAACGGCACTATGTGGATCATATGCTTGTGAGCATGGAGTCCGCAGAGGAAGCAATTCAGCTTGTACAGGACGTGAAAAGGATTCACGCATCGGCCGGTTTCGAGATGCGGAACTGGATATCGAAGTCACGTAGCGTCTTGGCGGCGGTGAGTGAGGAAACGACGAAGGAGGAAAGTCTCGGCATCGGCGAAGAAAGCATCACCGAGAAAGTTCTTGGCATGTGGTTTTTTTTTTTTTTTTTTACTTTACTTAAGAGATTTTTAGCCTTAGGCTAGTTCATCTCTTATTGGCATGTGGTGGGATACCTCAAAGGACTGCTTCACCTACAAGGTCTCCGCGCGATACGATGAGGAGCTCATATCAGGAAACCATCAGCCAACCAAAAGGGAAGTTCTACGCACTCTAATGATGGTATTCGATCCATTGGGACTCATCGCGCACGTGTTAATGTTCTTGAAGACGTTGCTCCAGGAGATCTGGCGAACGCCGGTTGGTTGGGATGACCCGATCGAGGATTCGCAGTACGGCAAGTGGTTGGCATAGTTAGCGATCTTTCCGCAGATAGCAAACGTTGAAATACCACGCTGCTATCGAGTGCAAACACCTGGTGGATCAAGTACCGTAGTACAAATGCATACATTTGTTGATGCAAGCGAGAACGGGTTTGCTGCGACGATGTACCTACGATTCGAGAACGGCGATACCGTCGAATGCGCACTAGTTGGTGCTAAAACAAGAGTTGCACCGCTCAAGTTCTGCAAGCGGAAATCATCGGTGTGCGTTTTGCGGATACCATATCGAAATTACTCTCGATCAACGTCAGCCAGCGAACGTTCTGCAGAGACTCCAAAGATGTACTCTGTTGGCTGCGTTCAGATCACAGGCGGTACAGCCAGTTCGTGGCGTTCCGTGTCAGCGAAATCTTCGAGACGACGGATATCATCGAGAGGCGATGGGTGCCGACGAAACACAACGTTACTGACGAAGGAACGAAATGGAAACGAGCCCCCAACTTGTCAAATGACAGCCGCTGGTTCCGTGGACCAGAGTTCCTTCTCCTCAAAGAAGAAGATTGGCCTGTGAATCCGTTTCCTGGAAGAACTACCGAGGAGGATTTACGACCGCATCTGCTTCTGCACACCCAATCTAGTGATCCAGCAATTCATCCACCGAATTTCTCGAAGTGAACCGACCTGCTACGTGTAACGGCCTACGTACTGCGTTATATCAACAACCTGAAACGTTGCTGCTACGGACGACCGTGAGTGTCGGGACCGCTGAAAAGACAGGACTTCATCGATGCAGAAAATCATCTGTTTCGCCAGGCTCAATCTACCCCTTTCGCAGAAGAGGCAGCTATCCTCATGAAGAACCGTCTGTGGAAGGATCCAGCGAAAACGGTTCCCAGATCATGCCTGCTCTACCAGTGGTGTGCCTTTCTGGATGAAAATGACGTGCTGCGTGTCAAAGGTAGCACGAAGGCCTGTATATTAATCGATCGAGATGCAGCCGAGCCGGTGATTCTTCCCCGGTATCATCCTGTTACTCGCCTCATCATCTCTGCAGTACACGATAGATTCAATCATCAAAACCACGAGGCGGTGGTGAACGAGATACTGCAACGCTACCGTATTCCTCGCCTGAAAGCAGCGTACCATCAGATCCGGAAAGACTGTCAACAATGTGAAATCCTCCGCGCCAAGCCGCAGTCACCAGCAATGGCTGACCTTCCTCCAGCTCGCCTGGCCACCTTCACTCGTCCCTTCACCCACACGGGCGTGGACTACTTCGGTCCGATGATGCTATCGGTTGGAAGACGTACCGAGAAACGGTGGGGGGTTCTCGCCACTTGCTTAACCACTCGCGCCATCCATCTGTAGATCACTCACTCACTGACCACCGATTCCTGTGTAATGGCCATTCAGAACATCATAGCTAGAAGGGGTATACCTGCTGCAATCTATAGCGACCGTGGAACCAATTTTCGAGCTGCAAGCAAGGAGTTGCAGAGTGCAACAGAAAAACTCGACCACGATGCGCTAGCGAAGGAGTTCACGTCCAGCCACACTGAGTGGTCTTTCAACCCTCCCGTCACGCCTCACATGGGTGGAGCATGGGAGCGTTTGATTCAGAGTGTCAAGCAGAACCTCGAACGAATGCAGACGAGCAGGATCCCGACTCCCGAAGTACTGGAGAACACGTTGGTGGAGATCGAGAATATTGTTAACTCCCGTCCTCTGAGCAACGTACCAAGCGATGGTGACGATTTCCCGGTGTTGACGCTCAATCATTTTCTCTTGGGATCCGCCAACGGCTTGAGATCGTGGGCTCCTCTGGACGATAGCCCTGTCCTGCTTAGGAACTGCTGGAAGCAGCCGCAGATGATAGCGGATGCATTCTGGAAGCAGTGGGTTCGGGACTACCTGCGTACAATTACTCGTAGGACTAAGTGGTTCACACCGGTGAAGCCGATCACAGTTGGAGATCTGGTAATCATTGTGGATTCCAAGCTACCACGAAACTGCTGGCCAAAAGGCCGAGTGATTGCCACGTGTCCGGCTCTAGATGGTCAGGTAAGGTGGGCTATCGTGAAAACCGTATCGGGGAGCATCTACGAACGACCAGCGGTGTCTTTGGCTGTACTCGACGTAGGCGTTTGAGACAAATACGCGTCAGGAGGAGTCTTCGCGTATTCCGGGGGGAGTGTTGGTTACGCCCGCTTCAAATGTGTATCACGTACATCCACCACTGATCTACGCCACTGACGACTGAGTGCAACCACACCCATCGGCATACGAGGGATTTCCGCGCGATGAAAGGGATAAAGCGGACAGGGGTTGTGTACTGATGTTCACCTCCCGTCCCATCTGTAAACTGCCACTTCAGAGGAGCTATCTCCCCGTCACACACATACACACACAGTACACATAACGTCGCTGTCTATCCAAGATGTATCTCCGTGTAGGTACCACTTCAGTGTACAAGATATTATATGTATCACAGGTATAACTCCAGTACATCCCTCCCCAAATTAGGAATTCAAGTGTAGACTGTCTTAATGATCGATACCATTTATTCACACGTTATTCATTATAGCCTTAGTACAATGCAATGAAAATAATTACTGATACAAATGGAAGTCCTTGTACTTTTCCGGAGCATTCCTTTGTCTTCGGGGATGGTGCGTATCTTCTGATGACAATTTCCGACCTTGACTGGACTCTTCTTCTGAGTTGACTTGTATTTGATCCTCGGTTGTCTCGATATTAAAAGTTGACTGTGATTCGTCAGCTATCTCGGATTGGTGCATATGTACATCTGCATTAAGTGCTCGATTTTGTGACATATTCGATGCGAATTTTTTGACATGAGTCCGATTCCTCGCATACTCCTTCCCGGTTTCCTTAGATCTGACAGCAACATCGCTTCCTTGTACCTTGATAACATCAAATTCTTCTGAGTGGAAGTTCGGTTGAGTTGATCCTAACTTTAGATTTCGCATCAATACGGTGTCGCCAACGAGTAGGTGATTTTCCTTAGTATGTCTGGTTTCATTTGCATATTGCTTCTTTCGTTCTTTGCCTAAAGCGTCACGTTCTTCTGCTCCTTTAAAAAATATTCTATTAGGTTCCTGTACCGTAGGCAGATAGCTGATTAGTTCTCTGTTAAACATCATCTTAGCTGGTGACAGGCCCGTGGTCTCTTGAGGTGTCGAGTGATAGAACAACAAATACTCGTAGAGATCAATTTTCCAATCAGTTTGTTGTGCCGCACTGATTTTAATTCTTTTTTTCAAGTAACGATTTTGTCTTTTGACGGCTCCGTTACGTTCTGGCCAGTACGGTGTTGTCAAGTTTAGATGGATATTGTAGGAATCGCAAAATTTTCTTAGCTCCATGGCACGGAATTGAGGGCCATTATCAGTCGTTATCGATTGATGTACACCGAATTTGCTAAACATCTTCAAAAGTGCCATTATGACCATTGAAGATGTAGGGTGTTTCATTGGCTCAACCATAGTATACCGGGTTGTATAGCAAACTACTACTAACATCGAGTAGTTGTTAGGCAAACCTTCAATAAAATCCATTGCTAAATCCTGCCATGGCAGAGTTGGGAATCTTCGCGCCATAGGGCATGGTGGATCAGGTTTTGACATCATTGTACACTCTTTACATGTTTTCAAGACTTTCTCTACCAAAGCATCCAATCCTATAAAACAAAACAGTGTCGGTTAAGGTTCATGAATGTATTTATTGAAAGAAAACAAATCCTTACCAGGGAACCACAATCTCGATCTTAAATGTAATTTCATAGCTGTTGCACCCTGGTGACCTAAATGTGCTATCTCTGTGATTCTCTTTTGCAGAGCCGTGGGAATGACAATTCGGTCCCCTCGGAGAATCAAATGTCCATATAGAGAGAGTTGCTCTTTAATGCCTAGGGTCTTGTACTGAGCTGGAACGTTAGTCCAGTCACCTGATGTCAGCGCCTCACGAATTTCCTTCAAGCTGGCATCCTTTTCACTAGAATTCTTTTCAAATCCTGCTTACTAATTCTACATGGCTGCATATAAGATGTTATCTAGCTAACGACATCTGTCTCATATCTCACGGTATTCTGAGATGAACAGAGTCTCGAAAAAAAATCCGCGATATTCTTCTCTCCTGGTTCATATCGTGTTTCAAAATCGAAATTTTGGACGACGGTTTTGACCGTACTCGCTCAAACAAGTAGAAAAGTGGTTTACAGTCCGTGATCAGGATGAATTTAATTCCGTATAGATAGATGTATAATTTTTCCATTGCCCAAATAATACCAAGGCACTCTTTCTCAGTTTGACAATATTTGACTTCACATGGGGTTAAGCTTCGAGATATACATAACACTGACCTTATTTCATCCATCTCCTTCTGGGCCAGGACGGCTCCCAATCCATTAGGACCAGCGTCGGTTATCAAGAATATCGTATCGAGATGATTATAATATTTGAGCGTCCTTTTATCGGACACTGACCTATCAAGAAAGTAAATCGAAACATTAACCAAACTTCTAAAAAAAAAACAGTGCAACCTATACTAACGTTTTCAAATCTTCCAGTTCGTTTTGATGACATTGTCTCCAGCAGAACGGTGTCTCCTTATGTAGAAGCTGTCTCAAATTATGGGTGCGCAGAGATAAATTCTCGATGAACTTTCCGAAAAACTGTACTGTGCCCAAAAGTGAACGGAGTTCGCTTGTAGTTTGAGGAGCGCGCATGTCCAAAAAAGCTTTCATCTTGGTTTCTGTAAGGCTGACTCCTTATTTTAAACCCCAGAAATTCGACATTTGATGCTCTTAGAACTGTTTTTTTTTTTCATTTACTCTTAAGTTGAACTTTTTTAGTTTCTCCATGACTAACTTCAAAATTCGATCATGTTCTTGTACGGTAGACTGCTAATAAGACTGCCTTATTCGCTGCTCTTAGATCAACGCAAAGGTGAAGTTTTGCGTCGCTCTTTCGTACGGGCACTAACGGAGATACCCAACTGGTTGGATGTTCGACTTTCTCTATGATCTCTTGAGCAAGCAGTTCTTGTATTTGATGTTCAACTTCCGCTTCCATAGCGATCGGTAAACGATGGATTGGTTGACAAACTGGCGTAACAGTTGGATCAATGTGTATTTTTACCTGAACTCCTGGCACTTTTGGAAAAGGAGTAGATGTAGTCTGCTCAGAATTTGAAGTTGCGTGAACTTTATAACCAATTCTCAGGACGCCAAAGGCAAATGCTGTAGTCCTTGTACTTTTCCGGAGCATTCCTTTGTCTTCGGGGATGGTGCGTATCTTCTGATGACAATTTCCGACCTTGACTGGACTCTTCTTCTGAGTTGACTTGTATTTGATCCTCGGTTGTCTCGATATTAAAAGTTGACTGTGATTCGTCAGCTATCTCGGATTGGTGCATATGTACATCTGCATTAAGTGCTCGATTTTGTGACATATTCGATGCGAATTTTTTGACATGAGTCCGATTCCTCGCATACTCCTTCCCGGTTTCCTTAGATCTGACAGCAACATCGCTTCCTTGTACCTTGATAACATCAAATTCTTCTGAGTGGAAGTTCGGTTGAGTTGATCCTAACTTTAGATTTCGCATCAATACGGTGTCGCCAACGAGTAGGTGATTTTCCTTAGTATGTCTGGTTTCATTTGCATATTGCTTCTTTCGTTCTTTGCCTAAAGCGTCACGTTCTTCTGCTCCTTTAAAAAATATTCTATTAGGTTCCTGTACCGTAGGCAGATAGCTGATTAGTTCTCTGTTAAACATCATCTTAGCTGGTGACAGGCCCGTGGTCTCTTGAGGTGTCGAGTGATAGAACAACAAATACTCGTAGAGATCAATTTTCCAATCAGTTTGTTGTGCCGCACTGATTTTAATTCTTTTTTTCAAGTAACGATTTTGTCTTTTGACGGCTCCGTTACGTTCTGGCCAGTACGGTGTTGTCAAGTTTAGATGGATATTGTAGGAATCGCAAAATTTTCTTAGCTCCATGGCACGGAATTGAGGGCCATTATCAGTCGTTATCGATTGATGTACACCGAATTTGCTAAACATCTTCAAAAGTGCCATTATGACCATTGAAGATGTAGGGTGTTTCATTGGCTCAACCATAGTATACCGGGTTGTATAGCAAACTACTACTAACATCGAGTAGTTGTTAGGCAAACCTTCAATAAAATCCATTGCTAAATCCTGCCATGGCAGAGTTGGGAATCTTCGCGCCATAGGGCATGGTGGATCAGGTTTTGACATCATTGTACACTCTTTACATGTTTTCAAGACTTTCTCTACCAAAGCATCCAATCCTATAAAACAAAACAGTGTCGGTTAAGGTTCATGAATGTATTTATTGAAAGAAAACAAATCCTTACCAGGGAACCACAATCTCGATCTTAAATGTAATTTCATAGCTGTTGCACCCTGGTGACCTAAATGTGCTATCTCTGTGATTCTCTTTTGCAGAGCCGTGGGAATGACAATTCGGTCCCCTCGGAGAATCAAATGTCCATATAGAGAGAGTTGCTCTTTAATGCCTAGGGTCTTGTACTGAGCTGGAACGTTAGTCCAGTCACCTGATGTCAGCGCCTCACGAATTTCCTTCAAGCTGGCATCCTTTTCACTAGAATTCTTTTCAAATCCTGCTTACTAATTCTACATGGCTGCATATAAGATGTTATCTAGCTAACGACATCTGTCTCATATCTCACGGTATTCTGAGATGAACAGAGTCTCGAAAAAAAATCCGCGATATTCTTCTCTCCTGGTTCATATCGTGTTTCAAAATCGAAATTTTGGACGACGGTTTTGACCGTACTCGCTCAAACAAGTAGAAAAGTGGTTTACAGTCCGTGATCAGGATGAATTTAATTCCGTATAGATAGATGTATAATTTTTCCATTGCCCAAATAATACCAAGGCACTCTTTCTCAGTTTGACAATATTTGACTTCACATGGGGTTAAGCTTCGAGATATACATAACACTGACCTTATTTCATCCATCTCCTTCTGGGCCAGGACGGCTCCCAATCCATTAGGACCAGCGTCGGTTATCAAGAATATCGTATCGAGATGATTATAATATTTGAGCGTCCTTTTATCGGACACTGACCTATCA